TGGATAAGGTTAAATGTGTATGGAAATATTGTGGCATTATATTGTATTTTAAAAACCAGTAATCACTATTGTCAAACTAATTATAATACTAAATTTAAATAGTTTTTATTATCAAAGGGCGCTATTATATTTCAATATAAAAAATATAATATCAAACGACTAGGAAATAAAATATGTTTTATTAACCACTTAATAAAAAAAAGTATAGTTTTACCTCTGCATACTATATTTTTATTTTGTCCGTAAAATCTTCAGTTAAAATTTATTAATAAAAATTAAAATAACATTAAACATATATCTATAATCACTTCTAATAAATATATATAACGATAAAATTGCAAAAACCAATTACTCATAAATATGTATTTTGTTACGCAAGTATCGAGTTTTTTTTGAATAAGTTATTTGCAAAAAGCAAAGCTTATCTTAATTATGAAAAATATTCCCAGGACATATATTTCAATAAACGTTGAACTATTCGACTGACAGTTCATAATGAGAAGTAACAAAACAGAATTAGTTTTCTTCATTATTTTTGTTATATTTTGCCTATGTGTTTTACAAATTAGTACTGGAAGAAAGAGTAAGTAAATAATATAAATAAATAAAAAATTAATAAATAAATCTTATATATATATATATATATATATATATAAAGAGCAAGAGAGGGAAAAAAGAGAGAAAGAAGACAGGGTACGGTTGTGCCACTTTTTTTGATTAGCAATAATTTTTTTATTTACTAGTTATCTGGGAGAAAAGTAAATTAAATGCAATTTGAACACATAGGAGATACTGAAATACTATCTTTAAATATGATGCATTACTTATAAGGTCGAAGTAAAACTTATTTGCTAATGTACGAGATGGCATTTAAGTGAAAATAAATGCATCATATAACAATTTATATTATATTATTATTTAGTATTATTTTATTATTCAGAAATTTTATTCATATTATTTATTAATTTTATTTTTATTATTAATTGCTTATATTTTATATCAAATCATATTACGGATATTATTTTCATGTAAATTTTATTCTTTGCACTTTTATTTATTTAAATTTATGTTACTATTTATCAATATTACTTGATATTAATAATTTAACAGTTGTAATACTTATTGAAATTAAAAAAAATAATAATAACAATTTTGAATAATGTTTATTAGTAATATGGTAACACTCGTGATGCACATATTTATTAGTGTCAACCAATATACACATTTATATAATGATAAATTATAATTTATATATTTATAATAGCATTAAAAATATGTACAATATTTAAAAACAATAATGTAATTAAAGTCATACTTTAAATATGACATGATCGGTTTGTCATTGTAATTAGCATTTAGAAATGAACCTTTATCAGAGAAATGAAGTAATTGCTGATTAATAACTTCTATAATAATCGCTCACACAGTGGATTATGTTAAACAACGCCTACACAAATATTGTTTTTGCAACTTCACTCATCATGTAATTGTGTTTGAAGAACTTCATGTAATTAAAACTAACATACATTAACTGGCCGCTTGTATTTTTTTTTTACTTTTTTGCGATATAATCTCATTCTTTGAACAACTGTAATATCTGTCTTGCCTAAAAAATATTTTCCATTTTAATAACTTCAAAGATTTACAGAAGTTACGAATAATATAGAAATAATTTCTAAGGAACAGTGTAAAATATTAAGAAACAGGGTAAATTATTCTTCTGATTCAGACATTTTTATTAAATCAACATTTGTACTACGATGTAACTTTAAAATGTTTATTTATCTATGCCGATTTCCGTGTTGATATCGGTACGCATACAACGTTGACGCCGATACGCATGCAACAACAGATCTCTATTCACATACGCGACTAATCACAATCGACCCGTATAGAAATGATATCATCGAGAGCGAACGACCAATCATTGGCACTCGCCGTAACGCACGTCCGTTGCATTTGTACGGATTTACACCCTAGTCGCGCCTAAAGAAGTTTTACTTCAAAAAGTGGGTCGCTAGTTTTACTTCAAAAGCTAGTGTCACAACGGTCTATGCCCGAAGGAATCTCAAAGACATTTTGTTGAACCATGAGTTAATTTTTTTTTATTTAAAAGTGGGTCGACTTTTTAACTCGTGTGGCAAGTTCTATCAAAAGTTGGCGCATTCAATCGGGATTAGAGAGAAATATTTGAACTAAATATGAGCGAAATATGTTATATGTTATAGTGTTAGTTTTTTAATTTTTTACCCTAAATTTTTCAATAATTCTCTTTAAAAAGTACTAATATTTTTGTTTAAAATATTAAATATAAACCAGTTAAAATTTAATTTTGTTTTTAGATATTAGAAAAAAAGTAAGACACATTAACGATGCACGTATTGTTGGAGGTGAATTAGTTGATATCGCTGATTACGGATGGCAGGTTTCCATTCAACGAAATAATCAACATTTTTGCGGTGGTTCAATTATCAACGAAAAATGGATTCTATGTGCTGCTCACTGTTTCGTAAAGTATTCAAACATATCAATTCAATGTTGTCGACCTAGCAAGAAAGAAATTGATTTTTCTCTATTTTTTTTATAAAAAAGTTTATTTTTGTGAATATTATTATTTGCAAACTCTCTTATTATACAAAATTAAATCGCAAACTCATTTCATAATATCTCTAATTGTCGATTTAAATGTTTTCGTATGAGCCTAAATTTTATTACGTATAATTATACAGTAATAAAGAAGTCAATTTTAAAGCTTATTAACGTAAAAATATTCACCATACGAATTAATTTTTATTTTATATATATGGAAATTTATGCTAACTCATTTGTTGTTATCATTTCAAAGTAAATATTAATATAAGGATGTAGTGGAAATATAACTGATAACTAGGCCGATTTTACCATGAAATAGACTAATGTTATGGCAATGCTGTGTAACGAAATAGTTTTCATACAAAATGGTACTAAATACTATCAAAATATCATATGATATTATTCCATACCAGAAAGATGTAGTTATGATAATATCGTTTTTTTAACTAGGTTAGGTACTCTATCAAAAACCCCTGACTGCCCAGCAACCACATGGCTTTTGACAATATTTATTATCATTTTGTATGAATACTGCTATAACATAGGTCTAATGTACAGCAGATTCGGTCAAAATATTTCATTAAAAATTTTGATATTTTTATTAGAACTATTAATTTACAGAACATTAAAATATGTTTTAATAATAGTATTAGTATTTCTACAAGGTTTCTTGGAAATGACTTTTGTTCAGTAATTATTCATTGATAATTAATTATTACATTATTAAAATTCATTACAATTCATAGTGCAAAGAATCCAGAACATTACTCGATTCGAGCTGGAAGCAACAAAAGCACTGAAGGCGGAGTAGTACATAAAATTAAGGAATTTTTTATACATCCAAAATATAATGCGATAGAGTTTGATTTCGATGCATCATTACTTCAACTGAAGGAGCCTTTAGTATTAAATGAAAACACAATTCGAGCAGCAAAATTGATAGAAAAGGGCCTCGATATTGCAGCAGGAACCATTGGCACTACTACAGGATGGGGTCAGGAAACGGTAATGCTTTTGAACCATAACTCGATATGGCTTGATTGACAAAATAATAAATAAAGATAAAAAAATGTAGAATCTCAATTAGTTAGGTCAATCGAAAGTGTGCCTTCTAACAACCTCGGTATCATATACACTTAATTTTTTTTTTTACTTTCCATCGAACTATGAATCGTCCCATTTCCTTTTGAATGATTTTCTTTTTAAATGTAACTTTAGTAGATATCAAGTTTTATCATACCACATACATAGAATGGAAAGGTCTTGCTATTTTACAAAATTAATAAATATATAAACTATTTATGGATGAATGATTGTATATAATGTTAATTTTTAAACAACTCATGAATTTACTTAGAAGATATTAAACACTAGATATTAAATGGTTAAACACATTTTAGGAGTGAACAATGCAATATGTACACGTCTCAAGAATGGTTTTAATTTTAACTACGATAGTAATAAATTTTTGTTCTATTCTGAATAATTAACCTTTACTGCTAAATAATAAATAATTTATCTAGATGTTAATTTTATGTAGGATGGTGGAAAAACAAGTACCTTATTATATGGAGTGGATACACCAGTAATAACTAAATCGCAATGTGAAAGAGCAGTATTGTATCAATATAACATAACCGAGAAGTAAGCACATTTTATCTTAAAAGATCACTATTTGTTTTTATTAATATCTAACTAGCCACTTATATTGAAATTAACCTTCATGATCTTTTCTTTTTATTATTCATACATAAATTTTGAACGACTAAATTAATTAAATACTCAGAAACTCTTGATCAGATGAAATTATTAATTCTTCATAATTAATTTTAGCATGATTTGTACAAAACTTGGTGATCTAGGACCGTGCAGAGGCGATAGTGGTGGTCCAATTGTAGATAAAAATAAAACACTATTTGGAATTGTATCATGGGGTGGCAATTGTAAAGAAACTACATTTCCAAAGGTTTACGCCAAGATTTCGTCACCAGATATATTTAATTTCATCCAAGATCATGTAGATACATAATTTGTTGAAGGAGTAATAAACTCGTATGAGATGTTGGAATACTAATAATTTGTATTTTTATGTTATATATATATATATATATATATATATATATATACTAGATGACCCGACAGAGATTGTCCAGCACCCACGTCCACAATTTGAGTTCAATTTTTCCTAATATCCTATCCTTTAGTTTTTAATATTCTTTTTAACGTCCTTCCATTTAATAAAATTTATCTGCCAAATATATATTGTATTTTATATTATTTTATTTACTGGCACATCTCAGCTGGTTTTCGGCAATAATATTGTAGATAATACATTTTACTTATTCATAATCATGGATATGAATATTATATACTAACATTGTCTAGTCTCGCTTAAACTAAATTTAAATTTCAAGTGAATCGACATTTTTGGCAAATTACAGTTCTCATGTATCAAAATTTGTCTTCAATGTCAAACAATGATATGTTGTTTTTGCATTTTACTATATTTACACATACATCCTAAAAAATTCCCTTAACAAACTTCAAAAAGATTTATCAAAATCCAAATAATCGTTTAGGAGGAGTATGTTTATAAACATCTTTACAAAAGAATTTTATATATAAGATATGGAAAGAAAAACATATCCCACATTCATCGCAAATCTAGAAAGACTACTAATTAAAACAAAATGTATATAATTATATATTAGGTGGTCTTAAATAATTAAAATATATGCATAATTTTGGTGCATTAAGCCTGATATTTTTATATGCGTGCCTCAAATACATATTCTTGGCCTTAAAATAGCCGTTTTAGCTACTTTTTCTCAAAAATCTAATTTAATGTTTTTTTAACCACCCAAATTGATTAATTTGTTCTTCGCAAATATTTTGATTTTCGATAAGATCATGAACCATGTTACTGAGCAAGCTTTATTAAGTACGAAGATATTTATAAAAAACAAATTATCACGGAGGTAATGCACTATAGTAAATACAATTGTAAATATTATTAGTTCCTTTGGAAGTTATAATACGAACATCGAACTTACTAGTTTTTTTGTAAGCTAAATTTTAAACTATTATTCTAAATATATAAATCTAAATTTTTATTCATTAAGTCGATTATTTACAGATATGAGAAAGATCATTAGACTTTAAATTAACGATGCACGTATTGTTGGAGGTAAAGTTGGTATCGCTGATTACATATGGCAGGCTTCAATTCAACGAAACAATCAGCATTTTTGCGGTGGTTCAATTATCGACATAAAATGGATTCATTGTGCTGCTCACTGTTTCGTAAAGTGTTTGTTAATTTAGCTTTATGTTACAGAACTAGCAAGACATTTAATCTTTTTTTTAAGTTACTCATTCTGGATATTATACAGATTACTTAATTTCTAAATTTACAAAATCCAATCGCCAACTATTTTCAGTATATAACGGTAAAAGCTCTAATTAATTATTGTTGAATGTTTTTGCGTAAATATTATTACATATAATTTTGCAGTAACAAAGAAGTCAACTTTGAAGCTAATAGTCCAGTCAATTTGGTGCAAAAAAAGGCTGTTGCCGGTACAGTACTCCGGGAATTCTGAAAATTGGTAATCTTATAGACTTCGAGGTGCTCTTTACGAAAATCAACTTTGCCACCTCAAATTTGAACGGAAAGTTGCCGCCATATTGAAAAAATGGCGTCAAAAAACAGCTTTTTTCAAATATCTCCTTTCTGGCTGATTCTGCGATAAAAGTATCTATGTACGAATTAAACTAGATAAAATTTCCTGCAATTCCTTAGAAAACCGTTTTTTTGTAAAATTGATAGTTTGAGAGTACGGCCGCCTCAAAGTCTTTGCTGCTCTCGCCGTAGTATCAAATCTCTCCATATATGACAGCACTTCGAAATTGACCACATTCTCTCTAATAATTAATATTTTCAATGTTAAATTAAGCGAATAAGATCTAGAAATAAAATAATTCAAATATTTATCGTTTTTTTGCTAATTTTTTAACACTTCAATGGCAAAGTAGCTATATTACTTATAGCTTGAGTAGCACCTTACAGCTTCAAGTAGCTTGAAGCGTTAAAAAATCAGCAAAAAAATAGAAAAATATTTGAATTATTTTATTTCTAGATCTTATTCGCTTAATTTAACATTGAAAATATTTATTTATTAGAAGGAATGTGGTCAAGTTCAAAGTTCTGTCATATATGGACAGATTTGATACTACGGCGAGAGCAGCAAAGACTTTGAGGCGGCCGTACTCTCAAACTATCAATTTTACAAAAAAACGATTTTTTAAAGAATTGTAGGAAATTTTATCTAGTTTAATTCGTACATAGATACTTTTATCGTAGAATGAGCCAGAACCGAGATATTTTAAAAAAGCTGTTTTTTGACGCCATTTTTTCAATATGGCGGCAACTTGCCGTTCAAATTTGAGGTGGCAAAATTGATTTCCGTAAAGAGCACCTCGAAATCTACAAGATTACCAATTTTCAGAATTCCCGGAGTACTGTACCGGCAAAACGACCAAATGACTGGACTATAATTAAAGTAAAATATTCACACTTTCGTTAAGATCTAAATACCATTTACAACTCATTTCTTTATATAAGTACTTCACATACAAATCCAGAAAATATAAACTTTTATATAATAGAGACTTTATTTCTTAATTTGAAAATATCAATCTCAAAATTCATTTAATAGATAGAACTATTTATAATATTGACCAGGTAATTAAACTTGTTTATTGGAAATATTCTAAACATTTAAAAATAAATTATTTTTAAATTATTGAATCCGATGAGCATAATCATTCTGAAATATTCCTGAAAAAGAAAAATTATTTCATAAAGTAAATATTTATGGATAATGTATAACGTTTGCATTTCATATAAGGCGTTCCCTACTTATGTTTATTTACGTACATGTGCATACGTACATATATGAGGGTCAATCAACAAGTACTTGTCCTACAAATAAAAAATATAGCAAAAAGTGGAAATTTATTTTTCTCACATCACCTTCACCCTGAGGAGAAATACTTGCCCACCTGTTGTATTGTTTATTAACAGACAAATGTAGTCAAATACTTGGGCTTGTACCTCGTTGCCAAACTAAACATGGAAATACCATATTCAAAAGAAACGCCAACAGCTGGAAGTCACCAGAAGAAAACTGTACTGGTTGTTAAACCGAAAATCTCAGTTGAGCACATGGAACAAACATCTTCTGTTCAAAGTCATGTTGAAACAAATTTGGACGCACGGAATACAGCTCTGGGGAACGGCACGCAAGTCCAACATCGCCATAATACAAAGATTTCAAAACAAGATTTTGAAAGAAATTATAAACAGATTTCAACATTAACACTGCTAAGAAAGAAATTGTAAAGTTCAGTCTGAGATACAAGGATAGAATACAGAACCACCCTAACATCATGGCCAAAAACTTAATAAAAAACCATGGCATTGAAAGGCTCAGAAGAAAACGGCTCCTTTTTGATATTCTTTGGTAATCCTATAATTTGTACAATTACTTGTAGGCCTAATTAAATATTTTCACAACAGGACTACATCCATAAGCTAAACATATCCAACATCGAATCGGATCACCAATGGGTGACCTTTCGACCTTTTTCCTTTATTTAATAAACCATCAAAATCACTGAATGTCGTATAAGAACGACAGATTGTAATTCACAAATGTAAATAAAAAAAATATGATTTTTCAATTTAATCTCCTTCAAGTTCAATACATTTGGCCCAACGTTTCCAACCCGTCCAAAAAATAAATTTTCTCGAGAGATGCAAAATAGGCCGAAAAGTTGCGGTGAGACTAAGTACTTTATATCTAACAAACGCATCATATCTTTATTTCCATCAATTCATTTATAATGTAACTTTATATGCCTATATTTATTAGGTTACACCTAGAATTTTTCTCATGTAAATGTAGGGTACATTTCCCTTACCGCGGATCTAACCCCGGAAGATTATAAAATGTCTTTATTTACTGTTTTCACTTTCTATACATTTTCAAATTAAACTACATTAAACCCTTTAAAAAAAATAAAATGTTTGCCCTGCAACTTTTTTAAATTTTATTGTAATAATTCAAATCAGTTTACGGAATATAATAATCATAACAAAATTTTGAATTCACTGCAATCTATTTAATGACAATGAAATATGTGTATAACTCTGTTAATTGTCGATGTAAAGTGATAAGATACCAAATAATGCATAATTGAAAAGAATGTGCAAGTACGTTTAACAAAAACAACATAAAACTTGCGAAAACATTGCGTGACGCAGTTGAAATTCACATATAAAAGAGCATATGGTAAATTTTTTTGTCCACAAAATTTTTGGGGATTCTTCAGCAACATGAAAATTTTATTACTGGTATTATTGGCAGTATGCTTTGCTTCAGCTAAACGAGGTCCACAGAAACGTGAGTCTATTTAAAAAAATAAACATTTGTACACTATAAACCTATAAACACATTAATATCTCATACACTTAGTATATTATATATTATACCATTATAATTACATATTAGAATCAGCAACATTAATAATTTATCCATCATTACTTGCTTTTGTGTATCACTTTATTTTTTTTTTATTTTTTTTAGTTTATTTAATTTTATTTTTTTATTTTTTTTTTTTAGTTTTGTTTAATTTTTTTAAATTTTGTTTTCATTTTCATTTATTTTTTTATTTTTTTTTTATTTTTTAATTATTTTTTTTAAATTATATTTTTTAATTTTTACGAATTAAACTTTTTAGCTACTGAATACAACAAATGTTTACATAGAAATAATTGCTGGATTTTTTAGATAGTGCGCTAATAGTTGTCAGCACATTATCAGTTGACTTATATTAAACAGAATTGATCCATTTGTTTTATGTATTACATATATTTTGTAACTAGTGGTGCATGGCATCGTGCTTAAGGCAAATTGCTGAACTTCCCGTACCGAAAAAAGAATTATTAAAAAAAAAAACTTTGAAAAAATTAGATTTTTGAGAATTTTTAAATTTTTGAAAATTTTGACTTTTTGAAAAGTTAGATTTTTTTATATTTGGATATTTTCTATTTTGATTTTTTTTGAACATTTTTTTAAGCAATCGCGCTGCATAGCTGATTAGAGTCGAAATATAAAAGCGCGTAAGCGCCGCGTAGTCGTCTAACGTGTAAGCATTGGTACGGAACCGATATAAATGTACACAAAATTTGTACTTATTATTCTAATCTTTATAAAATATCTGATAATACAATGTACATATGTCAAATTTTCATTTTTGACCGCCAAATGGAATTATTTTTTACTTTTTTATTGGATCTCCGGAGACTGCCTTTACAAAAATTTCACCAGTTGTTCATTTCGTCCATACAAGTAAAATGTTTCATGAATTATTTAAATCGGACGCTCCGTTATCTCAAAAACTGAAATACTATTTTTGGCACTTTGTGCCCCGTATCTCCGAAACCAAACCTGCCTCTGCCAAAAACTAATTAGTACCTCTCCTTATCAATAAGAATCGAATGTTTTTTGAACTATTCAAATCGGTTGATCCGTGTTTGCTTTGCCAAAAACTAATCAGCACGTCTCCTTATCAGTAGGAATCAAATGTTTTTTGAACTATTCAAATTGGTTGATCCGTGTTTGCGATATCGTCGACGAAAATTTGTATCCGCACACACACACACGCATACAAACACACACATATATCCATTTTTTGTAAGTATGGTATGCCAAAATGTTCCAAAACCTCTGAGACGTAAAGATATATAAAAAATTTCATTTTCGATTTTTTTGCGATTACTGTAACTTACCCCACGGGAAGTAAAAAATAGGTCAAAAAAATTTCTTCAGTGCTTGTCGAGGAAAACACTATCAAAACACAAGTGTTTTCAAGTAGATTCAGAAATAAAATATTTATACAAGGTTGTAGGGTGTAGGGATACTGATAAGTTCAGTGATTGCAATGATATGAAAAGTGAATTATTATTCTCATAATGCACAAAAACTAGTCAAAATACTAGATCACGTTATTGTAGAATATTATAATTTTTTTTTCGAAATTATTAAAATATTAAAAAATTGAATTAAACACTCATAGATGTTCGCGAAACACAAAAAAGTCTTGCCTCTGGGCGTATTGTGGGTGGTGAAGCAGTGAGCATTGAAGACTATGGATGGCAAGTTTCTCTACAACGTTTTGGCAGTCATTTCTGTGGAGGATCTATAATATCCAGTAGATGGATTCTTTCAGCTGCTCATTGCTTTTATGGGTACAAGTTCATTTTGTTTTACTTTCATAAGCAATCTTTATTAATTTACTGCTATAATTAAATATTAGAACGTTATTTCCGATTGGATTCTCTGCGAGAGCCGGCAGCAGTACTGTGAATTCAGGAGGAACTGTGCATACAATTTTGTATTGGTATATTCATCCAAATTATGATTCACAAAGTACAGACTTTGATGTTTCTGTAGTTCGACTATTATCTTCTTTAAATTTGAATGGAGGTTCTATTCGACCGGCTAGGTTAGTGGATTCTGGAACTGATTTGCCAGCCGGTGAGATGGTTACAGTAACTGGATGGGGACGACTTTCGGTAAGAATATTTTTTCAAGTACATGACCTAATATTTATTCTTCTTAATAATATAGGGTGAAGTCCCCAAGTGGCGGTCACCTAAGGTTATTTATAAATAAATCAAAAAATGTTTTAGAGATGTTTATTAAATTATGATTTACGTTAGATAACAAAGTTAGAAATCAAACTAAATTAACAAAACCGCAAAAATTGCTAAAAATAATTAATACTATCAATCAAACTTTGCTATCAAAAATGATTTTGAACAGTGGCACTTAGTACCAGACATTTCAAAATAACCTGCATTGATTACATATGTAGCCATCTCCACACTTTGAAATGTCTGCACATGTGTCTTTGACGAATATTCTTAGATATTGTAAAAAAAGTCACTATTCATCCAACCTTTTGGCTGGGCCACACTGATGCTCTCAGCTGGTGCATTCACAATAAGCTTTTCATTCTTTGACTAGGAAATACGAAGAATGGGGGTATGTAGTAACCGTTAGCACTCATACAGAACAAAATTGAATAATTGGAATAAATTACGTAAATTCTCACAAGAAATATCAATACGTTTACTGTCCGGCACTAAGGCACGACTTAGTGTCCGGTGCTTATGGACAGACATTTTCGTTCATTTGATGGCACCTACTAAAATTGGTTAAAAAATCTAATGATATTCTACCATTTTACGGATAACAATCAAATACAACTTTTATCTTTGCATACCACTCAAATGTAAAAAAACGTATATTTATATGCTAAAATTACTTCCATCGATATTTAGGTGACGCCGTGATTTTGCGACTAAAACAGCAAAGGGTTGCTACCGCCGTGGCCGTCTGCGTCACAGTTGAGTCTTGGCGCGTAATCCTGCACCTGTGTGCCCCCCGCGCCCCTTTCACTTGTATTTTGAAATAAAAAGATTTATACTCGCTTAAATAATACGAGTTAAATAGAGTGTCCGTCCTTGTTGCCGTCCGGCGTTACGGGACTTCCCCCTACTCACATGAAAATAGAAAACAACTCAAAGTTAAACTTTTTAAAAATATAACAATTGTAAAAGAGTAATTTGAACGTTTAGATACTCATTTATAAATTTTATAGCTCAATAAAAAATGATAAAAGTGTAAGTCTAATTAAGAATATGTGCTCGAAAAAATAAGGCATATATAATAGTTTTATTGTAACAATTTATATGCCAGTTTTGAGAAAATTACTTTAAAATAATCAAAAATAGAAACCACAATTAAAAATAGTTTTTTTATATAGTGAACTTTTTAGCATTCAAATATTTTTACGATATTACGTAAAATATCATTTCAAATAGCTTATTTATTTAAGAACAATTAAAATATTTTTTTTTCTTATTGAATAAGTTATTCTATTTTTCATGGGCAACTAGGTAATATGCATATATTAACTAGAAGGACTTTAAAGAAAATTGCTGCATATATTATATAAACAATTACTTTCAAAATAGGTAGCATTTAAATTCTGTACATTCTTAACAATGAGTAAATCTTTTTTTGTCTTTATAAAATATCGATAATTAACAAATAATATTGTTTCTCTTATTATTAGGAAAATACTTCTGTTCCCTCGCCATCAACTCTTCAAGGAGTTACAGTACCAGTTGTAAGTAATTCGGAATGTCAACAACAATTGCAAAATCAGACAATCACTGACAAGTAAGTCCCTATTAATTAATATAAAATACAACTAAAATGAAGCAATTTCAATTATTCAGAGAATAAAATATTGAGAAAATTGTCACACTTATAAAGAATCAGATTTTAGTTCTTTGGCATTTCCTATTGTATACTCTCTGATTTCAAATAAAAGAATAAGGGCATATTGAATTTATTACATCTATGTTTTCAGTATGTTTTGTGCTGGTGAATTAGAAGGAGGAAAGGACTCTTGTCAAGGAGACAGTGGTGGTCCCATGGTTGACAGCGAGGATACTCAAGTAGGAATTGTATCCTGGGGAATAGGATGTGCTAGACCCAATTTACCAGGAGTTTATACGCGAATTGCTTCATCGCCAATTAGAGATTTCATAAGACGAATAACCGGAGTTTAATATTATTTTATACATTTTTGACAAATATGAGAACTAATGAGAACTGTTGTATTGCTATAATTCTTTGCAACATTGTGCATGAATAAATTATAAATGTAATTGTTAACATGTTGTATCAATACAAGATCATTCCACATTAAATTAAATTAACGGAATATTAATTAAAAAATATCTGATTATAGACAGTTTGCTAAATTGCAGTTTTAATAATTATGACTTATAAAAGCAGATCAATTATTATCAATTTCAATCAAATCAATTTTCAATTATTGTACAATCAAAAATTTAGAAAAATGGGTTCACTATTAATTGTACGTAGAATAAAAATAGGCGTTTGATGAATTTAATGAAAGTATGAAAAAGTAAATTAAAATATATCGTATCTTTAGAAAACGTTTCATTATTTATTATTTTTATGTATATGAATACTTAGAAATTCATTAAAAAGAGTGCGCGTAAGATTCACACGCGTTTGAAGTTATAGTTTTTTGCTATTGTACGAAATGGGATTTAATTTTGAACAATGTTTATTAGTAATATGATAACACTCGTGATGCACACATTTGTCAACCTTTGTCAAATAAATTATATATTTATAATACTATTAAAATATTTATAATGTTTGAAAATATTAATGTAATTAATGTCACACTTCAGACATAATCGGTTTGTCATTGTAATTAGCATTATAACTTGAACCTTTATTAGAAAAATTGCTGATTGATAAATTCTATAACATTCGTTCACACAGTAAACTTGAATAATCTTAAATGATTTCATTAACACTATCAAGAAATAAATTGCATAGATGTCCATTATGAAGACACAAACTACTGTTGTGCATGATTTCTTGTTTAGTGTAATAATATGAAATCAATTTATTCTTCATTATTTATAAAAATATGCAACTATGTAATACTTAATAGCCAACATGATTGAAAAACATATTATTTTCCTCTAACTTCCAAAAGTGTCAGATATAATTCTAAAAAGATTCAATATTTTTTATTATCTATACAAATGCAGTGAATTATTATGTTAAACAAAGCCTAAAGAAATATTGTTTTTACAATTTCACTTGTCATGTAATTGTGTTTGAAGAGCTTCATGTAATGAATATTAACATACATTCAGTAACTGCTTGTTTTTTTTTACTATTTCGCTGGCGATACAGTCTCATTTTTCGAGCAGCTTTTGCTATAAAAATAATTTTCATTTTAATAACCTCAAAAATATATAGTAACCACGAGTAATACAAATTACTTCAATAAACTTACGTTTCTTACACGTCAGATTTTTCATTCGTTTTATTATTTTCACTATAATTATTTATGCGGGACGGAATAAAATATTCTTCCGATCCATACATTTTTTAATAACTCAAATCTTGTACTACTATTTAACCTTAAAATGCAATGACATGAAACACCAAAAAATGAACAATATGCTTCACGCTTTCGGTGACGTACGCATACAAAAAAGCTTCGCACATGATACGACGACCAATCACAATCGACCCGTATAGAAATGATATCATCGAGAGTGAATGACGAATCATTGGCACTCGACTCGAAAAATGATCATTCGACAAATGCACATCAAATTATCAGATATTTTATAAAGATTTTCATAATGTGTAAACATTTTGTGTAAAATTTTTTGGGTTCCTTATCAAGATTTTTAGTTACTGCACGGAAAGTATCAGCAATTTGCCTTAAGGCACGATGACATGCACCACTATAGTTTATCATTTAATTATGTATTACTTGATTGATGCTATATGTACCTATGCCTAAATAATAATATTAAGATTACACAAAGAAAACCCGTTGTTTTTGTTTCCTTGACAAAATAGAAATATATTTCTATTTTCTAAATGAAAATAGCTATTTGGATTGCAAAAAAGGCAAAATATTATTGGCATTAAGAAAAAGGACAACTATCGGATTGTCTTCTAAAGCATTAGTACCAAAAAACTTTTGGTTTGTCTTGTAATAGCCATTAGTAAATAACAGTACAAGTAATAGAGATTACAGAATTTCAGAAACCAATATATATATATATATATATATATATTAACAAAGTCTAATAATCGGGCATAACATCAATAAAAAACATGAATTTCTTTCAAAAATTTATTTTAAATCCATACGTTTCGGCTACAATCCTAGCCTTCATTCAGTGGAAACTAAAAATAAAATTAAAAACTAAAACAATTGAATTGGAGTGAAAAGAAAAAATAAAATAGTAATTAGTACTTACAATTAGTAGATCTTAGTGTTAAATTGGAAAATTTTAATAATCCATGGTATTAGGATATGGTAATGCACTACACTATGTATTATAAACATTAACTTGAAATTACACAAATATTTTTGATACACCTGTTGATTGTGAGTGTAATGTATTTTAAACTAACTTTTTGTAAACTATTGTATTGGGAACTATTACTAATGAATTGGAATTTTTTAATGTCTATTTCGTAAAATTTAGGAACAATTTTTTCTTTGCGACATCTTAATAAAAACACTTGTTTGTTGAAATTTATGATAAGTTTGGAATTGAGCTTAGAAATTTTTTTAAATTGTGAAAAAATGTAGAACCCGTAATTGCGCCTAATAAATTCAAAAAATGACAGGTTGTGATCTGCAAAATGATTTTGCTTTCCTTGTAACCTCCAAATGTTGTGCTGTAGAGTGACCATTTTCCTATTATAATGACGTAGTGGTTCCATGGATAATAATTGTGTAGTTGGAATTTTAGTATTTTATCTTGTATAAAGTACTGAGAGTAATGAATCCTTTTTTCAGCCCAGGAAAAATATTTTGTATGATTCTGAATTTGATGTTGACATATGTATTAACAAAGTCTAATAATCGGGCATAACATCAATAAAAAACATGAAATAACCCTAGTAGAAATGTATCGTGGCTAGAGGGGTAAAATATCGTGGCGCAATATTCGAATCTTGTCTTTAGATGGACCGGGCAATATTTGTTTTCAAAATTATGGAAAATTTGGAAAATTCATCGGAAAAGTGTTTTATATGGTTTATTACAAATAATAAACATGTTTACCAACTGATTTACGCCTCTAATTTTATATTTACACGAATTATACATAATTTTTAAATGTGGGTTTCATGCATTTTTTTTCTGGGCGACCAAGATTCGTTTTTTCAGTATTATCGAACTTGGGAAATACATGGTATTTATAAGGGTCACGAAAAAAATTAACTTTAAATAATTAATTAGCACCAAAATCATGTGTAAGGCTTTTAAAAAGTCATATGTTCGATCGCAATTAATAGTTTGATACATTTTTCTTATAAATTCAATATAAATTTTAAATGTGGGTTTTATGCATTTTTTTTCTGGGCGTCCAAGATTTGTTTCTCCAGTATTATCGAACTTGGGAAATACATGGTATTTATAAGGGTCACGAAAAAAATTAACTTTAAATAATTAATTAGCCACAAAATCATGATTAAAGCTTTTAAAAAGACATATGCTCGATCGTAATTAATAGTTTGATACATATTTCTTTTAAACTCAATATGAATTTTAAATGTGGGGGTTATGCATTTTTTTCTGGGCAACCACGATTCGTTTCTTTAGTATTATCGAACTTGGAAAATATGTGGTCTTTATAAGGGTTACAAAAAAAATTAATTTTAAATAATTGATTAGCACTGAAAACACGATTAAAGCTTTTAAAAGGTCATATGCTCGATCGTAATTAATAGTTTGATACATTTTTTTACATTAATGCCTTTGTGTAAGTGTCAATATTAAAACCAATATGGGCTCCATATAATATATTGATAAACAATATTAAAATCCCATTCAAAACTAATATAAGCTCAATATTGAAAATCAATATATGATTAATATAAATAACAATATTACTTCAAATTCAAAATTATTATTTAACCCACATTTAAAAAATATTTAATTCATATAAAAAACAGAATTTAACTCATTGATAATAAATTAGCTAATACATAGCTAATCATTGATCAGCTCGATCGTAATTAACAGTTTGATATAAATTTTATATGAATTCAATATAAATTGTAAATATTATATTCACATTTATTTTTTCTTTATTATCGAACTTGGGAAATAAGTAACATTTACATTGGTCAAGAAAATAATCAAATTTAAATCATCAATTAACACCAAAAACATCAATAGCGACTCTTAAAAAACATATTTTTGATCAGAATTAATTAATTAATAGCTAAAATAATTAAATCCATTATTAAACGTGAAGATATGCAAAAATTTTCATTTTCGATTTTCGTCTCATTACTATAAATACCCTAGGGGAAGTTAAAAAAGCAATAAATAATTTAACTATATTGTATTTATTTATTAACTATATTATTTAACGACATTGTAAGTATGTCATCATTCAGTAAACAAAACAAAAATAAAATTATACAAGATTGTAGTAGTAAAAAAGTACCAGAATAATTAACAAACTTAAATAATGTCAGTACGTACCGCACTGAGAAAGAAAAATTAAACAAAATGTTTGATAAAAAAAATCAAAACTTCGAATAAAATAAATGTTAAATAATGAAATTTTGTAGTTAGTCACATGACTTGCTTAAATTTGTTTTTTTCTAGTTTGGTATGTATTAATATTATTTAAATCTGTTATCATCTGTTAAATCTGTTAATATATCGATTTATATTTATAAATATAGACGTTTTAAAAATATTCTGAAATTGCACTACATACATGTATATGGTTTATGTAAGAACATCTGGTTTTTGAGAATGTCTCTTCTTTCTTTCATATAACCGATATTTGTATAAGGCTATCTCGCTTCGTGTACGGTCCTTCGTACGAATCGTTGTCCTCCGTCCTCGGTGTTTCTAGAAGACGACTACCTAACTATATGTCAGTTGTGGTCAAAATTATTTTATACGTATTTTATGAACTAATATTATATCATTGCACTTTTGTTTTAATTATTTATTCTTACATTTTTAATAGCAATTATTATTTATATTACTATACTAGTTTATTATTTACATTAATGTTATTTAAGAGTAAAAGTTTAATTAAAAAATTTATTTA